GCTTTGAGTGGAGTGTCCAGAAAAGCGCTATATAAGTGTAAGCAATTATTATTATTATTATCTTGTGCGTGGGAATCAGACGTTCCCTCTAGCTCTAGATGAGTCATAGTAAATATGGCCATTCTGTTACGGCTGGAGTCGTAAACTTTAGGTTTTATGTATTTGGATTTAAAAATTCATTACTTAAAGAATAGTCTAGTCACGTTATAAACGTTATAAACGTGACTGGTTAACAGTGTGGACTACGGTTAGAAATAGCAGGAGACAAAAAGGCTCTAATTTCGTGCAAGATATGGGGGTAAAGTCATCACCTGGCGAATTCTGGGTATGCACGCTGATAATCTGAAAAGTAAACGATTGTTAATGTTTTTGTAAATACGACCACCAGAACCAAATATTTATGCTATACGCTGCCAACAAAATTAGGAACTCAAAATTACACCCATCGTGCGACACAGATTTCTTTCAGAATGTTTGCATCCCATACTAGCAAGGCAAGCAAACGATTCGATTTCCACGTGGCGATTCATAAAGATTCGTATAATGTCAGATTAAAAAAAATATAACCAAAAAAAACACGCAGAATCGACTTACCCTGCATACTGACTGCGACAAGTTCCGAACCGGAGATACCAGCACTTTACTGAAGTCCCGGATCAAACCGTCAAGGGCGCATCGACTCCAGCCCCACATGGCGTCCTCCTACCGTGTTACTTTTTTTCCCTGCATCTATCCCCGGAATTTGTATTTATTTACAGTTACTGGTTCCGTCCAGTGACATTAAAGTTGAAATCAGCAGCGTGTGTATTTTGCAGCAAGGTAAGTTCACCGTGGAACGTAAGAACACAGCGCGACACCGACTAGGAAGGACCCCACGCTAAGTATGGACGACAATAGGCGCCCAATGCAGTGCCTGTTTTTTCCCCGACTTTTTCCCTCTTCAGAAATGACAATTGTCTGACAATGGCAGAACGAATGTTGCTTATTTCGCTGCTGGCAGTTTTATATTTTTGTTTTGTGACTATTTTTAATTTAGTTTTTGGAAATGAGCACTTACAACATATCCACACTGTAGCAAAGAAAATTATTTTTTTATATGTTGGATTCTGTGGACTAACACTGCCATCGAGAACATGGTTTTGGAGAAAATGTTTCTAGATATATGGTAAAAGACTTGGTAAGAGATCAAGTATAACATAACATAGGTGATTTAATTTCATTTGGAATCTCACTGCACATATTTGCCTTATGAATATAATAATCGCTTTCTATTTTTGTGATGCAGAATTTCAGAACTTTAGCAGGCCAACTAAAACAAATACTAGCACCTATCTGGTGTGATCAACACACCCCCTAACTCCACTTTCCTAGGGTCTGGGCAACACTAGCATCAAGCCACAGCTCCTGACTCCACCTTCCAAGGAATTTCAGGGCCACCCCTGACTCCACTTTCCTAGGAACTCCTGGGCAATTCCGGCTTTTTCTTCTTCCCCAGGCAACGGAGAATTACACTACTAAGCCTGGGCCTCCCCAAATCTATCCAGCTCCAAAACGTCTGTGATTGTGACAAATAAGCCCTAGACAGGGCTGCTCAACCAGCAGATTGGGCGGTAAATTGGCTATTATTATTATTATTATTAAATTGCATATCTTATGCTATTTTGGCAATCACCTCTGACCTGGACCAGAGAAACGCTCAGTCTGGAAAGCTGTTGGCTCTGATTCCGCGGCAAGATGTATGCTGCTGGATTGAGCCTGAGTGACACTGCTATCAGCTGTGGATGGGCTCCTGATGCGGGGGTCGGCTGGGTGGCAGCTGGAGTCCTCAGCGTGATCATGAGTCCTGCAACTTCCCAGACGTCTGTAAGGTTGCCATGACATCAGTGAAAGACCATCCTCTGCTCCTATTGGCTGAAATGCTGACAAGTGGGCGTGGCCGAGGAGCACATCTGCACCCCCCCGTTTCTCTCCGTGAGTTTCTTGCCAAAAGGCAACTGATCAGGCGGTTCTTTTAATTATTTTCTCAAAATAAAGACAAAACAATCCCAAAATCAGCCTTTAATTAATACTTTTAATTCAGTTACTAACCATGGTTGGTAAAGGGAAATCCAATAGTAACATTCTTTGATTCTTCACATTTACATATATTTATATTTCATAAATACTCTTTTAAAAAATTATACAAAAGTACATATGCATGAAGAGGCATGATTAGCTTTCCCAAGCTTTTGGCAAATGTGATGGTTCAGAGACTATGCGCACACAGCCAGTGTGTTTTACAGTGACTAAAACATTCCTGCTTTGGAGCTGAGTAACACCTCAGACGGGCTTTACTGAGCACAGGGTAGTGTCAACCTCAGCACTAGTATGTACGGGGGCTGCTCTCTGCCGTGTCTCCTGCAGTTTCCAATGTATTCCGCAGCTTGTATTTTAAATCCAGGGAATCTCAATCCTGGATATGAAGGCCCAGACGTCTGCTGTTTTCCCCCCCAGACGGGATTAATTGGTTAACCTAAGCCTTCATCCAGCTAACAAGCTGCTCCATTGAAATAGTTTGCAAGGCTTTTTTTTCTATTCAAAAGTTTATAAGTTTGTTACTTATGAAATGCAACAGTTCAATAAAATACCATGTCCAACATGCTTAAGAGGTAAAAACAGTCCAAAGAATTGCATTATTAAGTCAATGAAGCGTTCAATTGTGTTAGGTTAGCTGGAGCAAATAGAAGCAGGTGTGTGTGTGTGGCCTGCAGGTTCTAGGACTGGGAAACTCTTGTCTAAAAGGAGTAAATGTTCTGTAAACATCTGCCACTTGCTGGAATGAATGAGTGTACATAAACCTAAAGGAGACATCACTGAAAAACCCTGACCGTTTCATAAAGTAATGAGAAACCTGGGGTTAGATACAGTGCTCTGATAATCAAATCTGAAAATTTCCATGTAAACACTACTCCCAAGAGATACATGTAGGAGAAAGAGGAGGTTCAGGAAAGACAGGAAGATCTGCAGATGCCTCTTGTGGATTACCGTGGTAAGAATGCAGATCACGGTTCCACTTTTCCTTAGAACAGCTCTCCCTTGCTACACTCTGTGCATCTGTACATCTTTCTGTGCTTCACCCTGCTTTGGCCACAACTTCACCGCACTTGCCTGGCCATTACTCTGCCTTTTACTGCGAAGCCCCCACCTTTCAGAAGCTGAGCATCCAAGAATCGTGCTTCTCGAAAGCGGTTGGGTTTTTCGGTAGATCGATTGGTTTTGGCTGGCTGGCTGGCAATAGTCTCCGTGTGGGTCTCCCCATCTCTCCACGACCCTGCGGGTGCTGGCTTTTGGCACACAGGATGGGCGCCAGCGGGCAGGGCCGTCTGGAATGGAACTACGACTGGTTGCAAAGAGCGAGCAGAGCGATTTGGCAAACAGACAGGAAGTGCAATGTACAGACAGCGACAGGACAACGAGGTGATTCAGAGCACACTCGATCCAGGCACCAGTGTCAAGCTTCACTTCCCCCTTGGAAATTCGTACCTGCTTACTGTTAGTTCTATATGGACTTATTAACTTACTGTAGGGCTTTATTAATTGATTGGAGGGCAGGAAGGTGCTGGGGGGATGAACCACTCCAAGTCTATTCTGATGTATACATTCACTGTCTGCACAAACCTAATCTAGATCTGCTTTGGGCCAGTGAAAGGTTAAACACCCTGTCATGTCTGCCTCGTGTGAAGAGGCTGCAGTCTAAGACAGGTGGCAGAATAGAGGATAGCAGATTCACCCCATCTAAGTACAACAGAGACCCCCCCCCAACCTTATCCAGAAAACATTCTGCCAATACTGGGTTTCAGAACCCCCCACAAGATCCCCCTTTTTGTTCCAGCTGAGCTTTTAATCATTTAATGGGTCAATTCATTAAACCTCATTGCTCATTTGGTAAAGATGGTGTTCAGCTCTTAGTAAGCATGAGAATGCCTTGGCATTCAGTGGGGAACAGGCACTGTGAGCCCATGGAGCTCGTTTGGAGGATAGTATGTTCTTGTCCCAAAGGACGCCACCCAGCCCTTTCCTAAAGAAAGCCAGGGTGTCGGCTTCAACAACGTTGCGGGAGCGGCTTGTTCCAGACACCCAACACTCTTCGTGTAAAGAGGTGGCTCCTGTCCCGACTGGAGGATCCCTGTGTATCTAGTTTCAGATGCTTGTCACCTTTCCCACAGCAGCATGGGATGGAAGACGTGCTTGTCTGCTGTGTGCTGACAGATTGACAGATGACACAGCCTGACCTTTGCTGCCGATGCGTACAGCAGCACGCACAGGGCTGCCTGCGCAATTAGGCCAGGATGGGGAAATAGGAAACTGCCTGCCGTGTGAAGCGTCCTTCTTTTGTGCTGCTGCGTGTGTTCGTGTTGTAACTGTCACACGTTATTGGTTTTAGCTTGGCATGCCAACGAAGATACACTTTCTTGCACGCAAGTCCCGTAGGTCCTGAACGAGGTTTGTTTCCAGTCTGGTGGACTTGCACGAGCACGGAGTGAACGCACAATGAGGTGTTCGCAGACGGGGGAGTGTTGCTTGGTTGTGTGAGAACGGTGCTGCTCAGCAGGCCTGAGTATGACCTTTGGAGTGAGCACTTTTTCTAGCCCAGTGATTCCAACTCCTGCTCTTGAGAGACCAGCAGCTTCGTGCTGTAGCTTTGTTATCCCTTTTATAACCAGTGCTGACTGGTGCCTGTGACTAAACCGCTTGCTGGTTTACACGGCTTTCTGCACCAAGAGGGAATGATACAGAGTGAATGACACTGTGTCAGACCCAGCCCACACAGGAAATGATAGTGTCAGACCCCACCCACACAGGAAATGATCACACACACACTAGGGCCAAGTTTCCCAGAAGTCAATTAACCGACTATCAGGTTTTTGCACCATGGGAGGAAACCCACGCAAATGCAGGGAGAACATACAAACTCCACACAGACAGCACCCCAGCTCTGGAACTGAATCCAGGGTCCCTGCGGTGCAAGGCAGCAGTGTTAACCTGCTGCACCACCATGCTGCCCTAAAACTGTCCCCTCCTGCCATTAGAGAAAACTGACAGATTTCCCACTCTCTGGCTTGGAGTGTCAGTCTTCCCCTCCAGCATCGGTGTCAGGCCACCCCCTTTTTACCAGCGGTTCTGTTTTGTGCTCGGTGTACATGTAACGTACCGTCTTTGTGCAAAACTGTAAACAGGATTTTTGGTTTTATCCAAGAGGCTCCGACTGTACAGAGTCAGTACCACATTTGGTTTTAAACCGTGTAGCACACGGCCCTCCGCAATAAGGACACCACAAGCGTTCAACCTGCCCACACTGCTGTGCCGTCTCACCGGTATTTCTCTTTTCTCACCTCGCTGTCTGAGTCTGCGCCTGGGTGTTTCAAGCAGGGGGAAGAATCAAGCCCGTTAGGAAAAAAAAGCGCTTGAAAGTGAGATGCAGAATGGTGACCACAGGGCTGTAGGATTACAGTCACTCTTCTGCAGGTGTTGCAGTGTCTGTGTCTTGAATGGGTCAACAAGGGGAGATCTCAAAGGAAGGGTCATTTCTCCCACATGTCTGATTGTTTTCGTTAAGTCGTTGAAAGTTCAGTTGGAACAAAAATTCAGGGGACAGTGAATCTCTAAGCATGGCTTGTGTGTGTGTGTGGGATGGGGGGTTCCGACACAAACTGCTACATTCAGATTAGCGCTGTGGACAAGAAGAAGTCTCTGCAGAGACCTAGGCTTTTTAACTATAGAAACTGACAGCCCTGATCCACAGTGTCACAGATCTGCCCCTTCATAACCCTGCCCTTAGGTACAGCAGAATCACCCCCCCAGAATGTTTAACAACAGCTGCAGTCTGCTTTTCTCCCCGCCCCCCTTTAACTCTGGTTAAATTAACCCGCTTAATTACCAGTTTTCCATCTTACCCCCCCCTTTTTACGTGCCCCCCCCTCCCTGTATCGCTGACGTCAGTGCCCGTCTCGGTTCGGGGGGGAAGAGAGAAATACTGCGGTTCATATCGTCGCACAAGACACCGCTCGGGCCGGGATGGCAGAACCTGGATGAAAAGCTTGCAAAAAAAAAAAACACAACCTCTACGTTTAAGCCTCTGTCCACAAACTAAGACCCCTTGGGCGGCCTCGCGTCCCCCTCGAAGCGGCATTTGACTAATAATTCGCAATGTGAGTGCTTTGTGAACGGGGCTCGGCCTCGTTACGGCCGGTGGGCGTTTTTCTGCGGCGGCGGCGGCGCTACCTCCACCCCCCCGAGCGCGGCGCGGGGGTCCTACATCAGCCAGAGCGCGGCAGCGGCCACGAGCAGCGAGGGGAGGAGGGAGGCCCGCGCGGGCCCGGCGGGGATGGCGCTGTTGAGCACCAGCCTGTAGGACACGACCTCCTCCTTGTGCCCGTCCTCCAGCGCCATGCAGCGGAAGACGCCGTCTTTCAGGGGCAGGTCGGGGGTGGGCGCCAGGACGCAGGACCCCCCGTTGATGGAGCAGGGATAGCGCTTCTGGCAGTTATCCTTCTCCCAGGTGTAGGAGGCGTGGTAGGAGCGCACGGGGCAGGGCAGGAGGATCGGACCGTCCGGGTTCACCAGGACCTCTTTGGGATCGGTGCTGGGGGCTTTCAGATCTGGGACAACCACAATCCGAGTCAGTCACCGCATTTCCTGCGCAAGTTGCCGTATTCATAACCTCATAAATTCATTAAAAAAAAAGAAGCAACACACACTGTAATATTCCTAATTGCTTTGTCTCTAGCGGATGATGAAAATCGCTCACTAAAGCCGTATAAAATGTTTAAACTTCTATGGCGTATCTATTATGAGGTGATAAGACAGGCTAAAAATGACCTAAAACACTTAAAAACACCGGAGCTTATGTTTAAGGTCACAATATTCTGGACCACAGTGCTTCCTCTCTGTGGTTTGTATCTTTTTGCAAGTGGATTATCCACCTCTCCATCCATCCACCCACCCACATCAGAAAGCCGTTGGGAAAGTCACAGCCAACCTGCTGCCCATCCCAGAAACACGTGGATCAAGGTGGGACCAGGTGGAAAATCCTTAAAATTCTCAGCACTTCTTCCAATTCAGGACAGCCAGAGTCCATCCCAGCCAGCAACAGGTGCAGGTACCCCCAAGACTGGACGCCAGTCTCTCACGGGGCAACGCACCCAAGCACACACACTCACACCAGGGCCAGTCTTCCCAGAAGCCAATTAACCCACCAGCCTCTCTTGGGACTGTGGGAGGAAACCAGACCACCCAGAGGACCCCCACACAACCGCAGGGAGAACATACAAACTCCACACAGACAGCAGCCCAGGTCTAGAATCGAATCCAGGGCCCCAGCACTGTAAGGCAGTTTGATCATACCAGACTGAAATCTAAAACATAAGGATTGATTCTTTGTACCAGGCCAAAAAAAAAAAACAAACATCAGATTTCCAAAGTCAATGGTTCGTGATATTAACAGGGCCGGGTGGTTGGAGAAACTGCAGAGGTCTGGAGGGAGCAGGAACTGGGCTGTCCTTACCTGCAGAGTCCCCACACACGGAGGTGTTGGACTGGTCAAGGTTCTGGAGGATGGACCTGCAGGGAATAAAGACAGGACAACAGTCCAGTGATTCGTGGTTCGCCTGCAGGGGGCTGGACAAGCTGTCCGCCTCTTTTCCAAAACCGTATCCTTCCCCCCCAGGATTCCAGCAGACACAGCCCCCGTACCTCCCCATGAGCCTCTCCCACCATGTAAGCGACACACCTGAAATTGTCCTTCGCTCGTAGTTAACATTCTGACACCTCTCCTCCTTTACAAGTAAAAAAGCCTATGACTCCTTTCCCCCAAAGACGTCTTTTCTCATGCACTGTGCGTTCTGTAACCTGGACATGCAACTCTGGAAAAACAAAAGGCAAAATAAGTGGAGCTGTGGCTTGTTATCTGGCAGGCAGATCATTCTTCATTGGGTCCGAACAGTCGATATGGAGTAGAGTACCATACTCCCAGGTACAACGGCACCCAACCCCACTGGGATTCGCACCTGCAACCCTTGTAGCGGTCTGAACCCTTACCAATACTCTGCTCTACTTTATAAGCCCCCCTATGTCGCAGACAAAAACAGTAAAAAGGCAGTGCACTTTCTCTGTGTGGGAGACTTTAATTGCAAGTTTAATTCAGCTCCCCTGTCGTACCCGAAGCTGGAGTTGTATCCAGGGGGTATGGCGGTGCACTGGCGCCCGGCCGCGTCCCAGCCACAGTAAGGGTCCCGGGACAGTACGCAGTCCCTGCAGGTGTTGCCGTAGCGCTGGCAGTCAGCCAGGGGGAGGCGCTGGACTTCCAGCGAGGTCCCCACATAGAGGTGGCCCTGTCCCGAAAAAAAAAGGAAGAGAAAACTCTTCATCTTCTCCCAGTGTACCCTAACCAGCAGGGGGCGCTGTGGAAGAATGCTGGGACAAAATGCACTGTACGGCTTATTGCTCACGCAGGACATGCAGTTACCTTGTGGGAGTCGATGGTCATCAGGCTGACTGGAGCTTCGGCGGCGAACAGGGAGTACTGGGAGATGATAAAGACCTCCTCGATGGTGTGCAGAACCTTCAAAACCTTTCCCTTTCCTGAGGAAAGATGGAAAAAACCTCAGCTCCTGTCTCTCAGCCGTACAACGCAGAGCGATCTGCTGGCCACCGCCATATCCTGCACAGAGTGCCTTCTGTAACACCCCTGCTGTCAGTGACCTAGCAGCCACCTGGCAGCGCAATCTGGCCGAGCAAGAAACAATGCTACTCCAGGCCACAGGCTTCAGGAACTAGCCAAAAACCTTGCTGAGACGCATCACAAGACTCTGATGAATAAACAGTTCTAATCTGATGCCGCAGAACCTGCAGGTGCCTCATGTACCTCTTAATCTACTGGCCTGGAATTATTCCTTCAGGCTAGCTAAGGCAAAGAGACAGAAAGGTCATTTGTATTTCACAGTTCCACAAACGTTTAATATGATTCATCTGACCCTGATCTCTCACACAAGTATTCAAGAATTCCCGAAAGGTTACAAATGAGAGAAAGCCTTTTAGCTCATCGAGTTTGCAAAGTTACTGAGCTGCTGGGCTCCCATCCAGTCTACTTTCAGAGTTTCCAGGGGTAACCTTTTCAACTACCCGGCTGGGCAGCTTGTTCCACACTCCCACCACCCTCTGCGTAAAGAGGCACCTCGGTCTGAACTGCAGTTCTTTTCTACCTCCCAGCTGTTACCGGGCCCTGGTTCTGCAGCTTATCCATCTCAGAAATCCTCCGGCTTCCTAGCACTGGGGTCCGTTGTGATCAATCGAGGAAAAAACTCCCCTTCACCCCAGATCTGAAGATATTTTCCGGGTGCAGCCCTCTTTAAAAACCATCAACCGTGTAATTTACACCGTTAATAAAAAACACTGAGGAGCATCCAAATAATCAGAGCCCTCCCACTCAAATCATCACTAGCTAAAGCTGTGAATGTCAAACTTTTTCATTTCTTGGCCACTTAAGCCGATGGTCTGTTCCGATCGTTCAGTAAGCAGAAGTGTCATCTGGAGTGAGAAACAGAAGCACCCCCCAGAGACAGATCTAGCTTCACCTGGAGTAGCTAAAAACAAGTTGCTAGAATAAATGAAAAATAATTCTGAATCTAGAAGGGTTTTGGGGTGCTTTGTACAATTGTAATGAAGGATTTACAGTAGGAGCCTAGGACCAGGTTTAGTCCTAGCTTATGGATGGGCTGGTTTCCCTCCTGCTCCCCGACTCACCTGTGCCCAGGTACAGCACACTGTAGTGCTCATCGTTGACCGCCAGCACCGTGTCCGCGGCCATCTTGGTGAAGTGATCGCTGGTCAGCAGGGCCAGGGGCTGCTTCCCCAACGGGCGGATCACATCCTCGATCTCGGGGTGGTCGCGGATCACCCCCAGGGTCTTGGCGGCCAGGCCCGAGGTCACATTCTTAAAGGCGCACTGGGAAGAGGGCCAGAGGCAGTGTGAGGGCGGGGGCAGGGGGCAGGGGGCAGGCCGAGGGCATTGCAGTCCGTCCCGTTATTTGCTCCTCTCCGAGTGGCTCCTACACTTACAAAGGTACAGGATCCTCTTCCAAGACTCCGGGCACATCATTCCCAACCCACCCCCGAAGACCCCAGACTGATCTCGGATGCATCCTCCAGTCCCACGGCTCCGTGCCGAGCGCTTTGTAAAGGCAGGAGTCCCCGAGAGATCTGATCAGAGGGGCCTGCATGTGATCCGGCTGCAGACCTGAGCCGGGCTCCAGAGTCTCTGCCTCCTGCCAGAGCCATGTGTAAGCACTGGCCCGTTTTCTCAGAGCTGCCCTGCTCAGGCTGAGCCCCTGTCTTCAGAGAGCCCTTTCTGCAGTACAGCCCTTTCTTTCACACATCTGAACTGCATCCAGCTTATCTGTCTGCATCCTTTGTGCCGATGGGTGAAGGACACTAAATTCCTAGATTGCTGCATCCCGAATACAGATTTTCCTTCTCTTACAGTATCCTCCTTGTACGTGCATCATAATGCCAGTCAACCCACTATTTCTACTAGGAATAGCAACATGGGATTGCCTTACCGTTCCGGGGCGGTGTGCTGGCAAGGGGCTGGTGTACCCCTTCAGTTTGGAGGTGCCGAAAGATTGGTCGATCTCCTCAATGGAATAGGCGCAGACCACGGTGATGTCCCTGGGACAGGAGAGGACAGGATAGGATGGAAACGGCTCAGGGAAGTGGGGATGATCATTCAGAGAGACTGAAAGACGGCGCTGGGCCTGGTGTTTCTGCACTCAAAATGATCATTCCGACTTTGGGGCGCAGGGGCTCCCCATGGCTTGTAAACGTGAAGGAGCAGGTATTCGGACACTAGCCGTTCTGGTAAATAGGACTTTCGTGTCCCCCCGAAAAGAAGCAAAAGCTGACCTTTGCTTCTGAATCTCCAGTTCTAACCTGTACCACCTCTTCCCAGCATCAGAGATGCAACTCTTGCTTTATCAGGTAGGTGAAAGTCATCAGCCCGTGCCGAACCCAAAATTTTGGCAATGGAAGGCACTCTCACTGCGCGACCAGATCGGTTTCAGTCTGATCTGAATCCACCTGATTCCAACAGCAGTTTCCATTGACAAACCTCTCCGTCCATCGAGTGAATCGACTGCTGGCTTCAAGGCTCCAGCTGGTGATTCCTGGTCACCGACTGAGGACACCTGTGTGAAACCAGAGGGATCTGGGCTCTGCAGGACCAGGGCCTGATACCGCTGCCCTGGGCATCTTACCAGGCATTGGAGAAGATTCCGTACAGCACCCCAACTTTCTTATCCGTGCTGGTCAGCACATAGGCCTCCTTGAACCGGTTGTACTGCTGCGGGGTGCCCTCCACGCCGCACCTCACCCGCGCCTTCAGGAAGGTGGTCCAGGAGTCGGGCAGCACAGTCTTGCTGCCGCCTTCGTCCACCTGGCCAAGGACACAGAGGCAAGCAGCTCAGGGAGATTACGTTTAGACTCGGCACCGACCACTTCAGTCCCGGGTTTGGAACCGGTGGAGTTTAATGAAGAGAGGACAGCTCCCAGTTCAAGCTATTGCCTGGTCTTCCTATACTGCCTTAGAGATTTTCCTTCCTACAGCTCAAAGCTAAAGCATGTCTCTGTAGCATCCCTTGCCCTCCTTGTTGCTTCTTAGGCATCTTCTAGAGGAGGTGCCTCATCCTCCCATTGAGGTCTGACTGGCCCGGGGACACTACACCTGACCTGGCTTGAGTGCACTGAAACAGACACCTGCTGGCTGTGACATGTGTCAGAAGTAACTGGAAGTATTTCTATATATCCCAATACAAGCAGTATGAGCATCCATGCATGAATGGTATTAACAAAGGGTGACCATGGATGTACGTGGACTATAAACCCCGCTGTAACCCTGTTGTAATTTGGGACACTGTGGGAGATGCCTCTTGTGAGTGTCCTCTCCCAGTGTGATGAAAGGGTTTTCATGAAATGCGACTCCTTGCAGCCCAACACTCAGAGAAATCAGAGACATCTAGCTGTCTCTGCTTCATAAACCATTAATATGTGTTAAGGAGCAAAGGGGTGTGGGCTCTACCTCCTGAACTCGCCTCTTACCAGAGACCACAGAACAAAACGTCAGAGGTCTCATCTCAAGCTCCAATTCAAACTCCTCTCGACCTCTCAACTCACAATTCAGCATTGAGGCTGCAGGGGTGGCTTTGTTTAAACAGGGCAGGAGAATGCTCCGCCCTCCCCCTCAACGCCAGGTGTAAATGACTGATTGCCCAGCCAATAAGAATGAGGCAACCAGCTACACTGACCAATGACATCCTTCCCAGCTCCCCTGGCTGCCGTGATGATGCGGTTGCCCGCCCCGCCCTGACTGGGACTGGTCACATGTTTCCTAAGCTGCTGCTGGAGGACAGGCAGAGAGGGGACGGCGTTTACCAGGCACACTCGCCCAATCCTCGCCCGGTAGGGGTCTTCGTCCGGGGTGGCCGTCCTGTTGATCTCGCTGAAGAAGAAGTAGATTTCCTCCAGGTGTCTGGGCATGGCTGGGATCACTGCTGCGCCCGCAAACTGGGGGTCTGGGTTAGAGACGTGGTGGTTTGATCATTCTCACTGCACGAGCCACAGGGGATCCCCCTCCTGGCCCTGGGGACACCCCCAAAGTGCTGCTATACAGAAGACTCACAACTTACTCAGGGGTGAGGGATTCTGAGCAATGGATAAAGCCAAATTCATGTATAGTCAAATTGTACCCTATAACCCCTTATAAACACCCCCCCACACACTAATGTCTTACAGCAATTCAAGATATTAAATATAAGTATAAAACAGTAAATAGAAGTAAATAAGATGACTGTATAGGCTCAGTAGTTAGCTCTCATAGGCAAAGTTGACAACTTTTGCAAAGAATAAAGCAATTTCTATCAAGATTTTTGGTTTTCTGGAACAGACTGCGTACAGCTGCAACTACATACTGCTGCAAGTCGACTGTCCTTTCAGGTTGAGCTCTTGGTTCTCAGACAATCAAACCCTTTATTGCCCACATAGCAGAGTCAATCTGAGCTCTCTAGTTGTTTCCAGTTCCTAGATGCATCAGAATGTCGCCCATGAGCTCTTGAGCTTCATAAATAGCTGAAGATCTCCAAGGTTTGAGAAAAAAAAATAACAATAACAACCACAGAGGCTCCAATCAAGCTTCTTGGATGCTCAATTAAGGATTGAGCTGAGTGCAGATTTCAGGTGGAATGCAAACCAGTGGGTCTGGGGATCCCCGCTACCCTGCTCTGCCTTGTAATGCTACCCTCTCTCTGCAGGGTGTACCACAAAAAGTGGGCCCTGAAGCACAGAGCCTCCTTGGGCTGGTGGGTTCATAGCCGATGTGTCAGCCCCACTCACCCCCCGTCCCTCCCCGACCCAGAGCGATTCCTCGGAAGACTTTGGGGAGACCCGGGACAGGATCTTCTGACCCTCATGGTGAAAGTCACAGCTGAGAGGCAGCTTGAGACCTTTCAGCAGATTTGATAGCTCGTCTGTGGATTTAGCCTAGACGCCCCCGACTCTACCCCATTAAGGGGAATGGGATCTTTAGTAGGGAACACCCCCCCCAGCGAGCGCCCCCAGGAGAAACCGGACCACAACACAGGAGGTAATGGAAGGGCTGACAATCACCGCCCCTACTGCAAATCCCACATCCACCACTCACTGTGCAGCCACTTATCCTCGGATTTCAGCAGCTTCTGGGATCCGTAGGCTCTGCGGATGAAGCCGCCTTGTCTCCCGGTTGCAGACAGAGCCGAGTACAGGTTCCCCTCTGCGGGAGAGACCGGCAAAAGAGACAAAAAAAACGACCTTCAGCTCCCATCCTCAGACACCCCACCCAGGCGGTGCTGCAGACTGGTGACTGAAACTGTCTGGAGGGCTGTCTGCACGGAGCCCCCTGATTGGCTGGCTGACTGACACAGACCAGCTGCACTTCTCATTGAAATAATGAGGCTCAATCATTCAATGCAATTAGTGAGATGCAAAGTTCAACCCATTGACCTGAGGTCGAGGAAAGAAGGCCTTGAATCTGTCAGAGTGGATTATGGGGCCAGTAATCGTTCATCACAGCTAACTTGACACTTTTCACCCAGCCTGTGCTTTGTGCCACAGTGGTTAGAGCTCTGCACTCTTGGCTAGAAGGCTGTGGGTTTGAATTCCAGGCGAGACACTGCTGTTGTTCGTCACCTGCATGACCCTTAGTGAAACACCCAGCTGTGACAAGTGTCCATCGCCTTGCTGAAACGCTCCGCCTGCCCGAACGACTGATGCACTAGGGGGGCCCTGAAGGCCCAGCCCTGCCTCCTGTTTAAACAAGCCAGCGCCCCGCCGTACCTGCTGACAGGGACACCACTCTCTGCGAAGGGAACGGTGGGGAGATGTCCGCCGGCGCCATCATCTGGCCATTCGTGGTAGTGTCGCTCAGCTCGGTGTCGTTCACCTAGACAGACATGAGGAGTGTGAAGTTCGAGGAACTACAGAGTCACCGGGTCTGCTTCCCAAATCTGCCCGAGTCCGTCTGGGAGGGAATGATCCATTGCTTGCATCCCAGGACGGAAAAGGGGTGCACTTTTGTGCGGAGCCCGGAAGTTGGATGATTCTGTGGGCCCTTGAACTGGGTCTGCAAAACCCTGAAAGGAATTTAAAAGGCCGACCCAGGACATGTCTTCAAGGTCATCAGTAAGGCAAGGAGCTGGAAACACAAGTGGGAACTGTGGGAATTATATTTGGGGTCCTTAATGATGGACAACAGCAGACACATCTTTGCACAGGCGATTGTGGGAGACTGCAAACAGCTTCCAGGTCAGGGGGTGGTCTGGCCCTGTGGGAGCCATGAGAAAAAGACAGATGCATTCTTTGGTCATTCATCTACCAGCTGCAGAACAAGGTTGCCAGAATGAACGCCATCTTTTCATTCAGACTCACTCCTGTATTCTTCCGTTTCCCTCTAAAAGAGGCATGAGCTCTCCGCTCTGAAGGCAGCTCAACAGGAAACACTTACCATCAGCCAACACTTGGGGGAGCCAGCGTTCGTCCCGCACACCACAAGGCTGTCGTTGACCCTCTGAATGACGGTGATGAAGTTCTCGCACTGCTCCTGGCGAGCACAAAATGAACACAGCAAGGCGTGAACCTACCCTGCTCGCTCACCACAGCAAAAAATCATACTGCGGCCGAAAACCAAAGTATAAAGGGCCTAATGATATAGGGAAGCTCTCCTCCACAGCCACAAACAGGAACTTTTGGTTACACAGGAAGTGTAAAATATAATCAGCCCTTAAAATAGTTCACCGAGGAGAGGAAGTCCAGAAACCTCAGCAATGCACAGCAGTCAGGAACAAGCTGCTCTCTGGCCCTGATCAGAACCAGGCAGTGCAATCCGTTCTGCAGCCTGGCCCGGATTGCTCCTTTACAGCACACACACGCCTCCAGATCAACCCCCCCTGCAGTTCAGCGTTACTGAATTCACAAGTGACGCCACACTTCCTGGTTTCAGTCCCAGCCCGGCGCTCCAACAGAAGGGGAACGCTGCGATTACTGTACACCTCCGACACGGTCGGGCTCCGGATCCTTTCCTCTCGGAATAATGAGGCGCCTGTGCTATTCAGGTGGCCAAGCGATTACGGCATTGGCAGGGATGATCCCAGAAAAGCAGCTCCAGATGGCCGGCATGCCTACGTACCTTCAGCACAGTGGGTTTCCCGAGACACGCTTCCTTCGCATTCTCGTCTAGAGTCACCAGGATCTGGAGGAGGACACGGTACAGGATTGGCACAGAGCAGCTCCTTATGGCACCACGGCTACAGCTTCACCACAACATGCGTCCCACACATTCGGTACTGCAGCTCCATCAAACTGCAGTCCAGCTCATCACCCTTCAGCTACGGTTCTCCCAGAACTCATTGTTTCAGCCAGCTTCTGATGTCTTAATAAGATATTATTGGCCATATAAACTCTCTTGCATTTGGAATTTGTCCTTTTGCGTACTCCAACTTGCTCTCCGTGAGACACACAGACAGGGAGAGAGAAGCTGGGGGTCAGAGCGCAGGGTCAGCCATTTATACGGCGCCCCTGGAGCAGCTGGGGTTAATAATCTTAACTAATATAGCAATTTTCTCCTTCTCTCCTCAAAGCGCTTTACAGGTCATGGGGATCCCCTCCACCACCACCAGTGTGCAGCCCCACCTGGATGATGCACCAGTACTCTCCCCACACAGCTCTCCAGCTCTCAGTGGGGAGGAGAGCAGAGTGATGAAGCCAGTTCAGAGAGGGGGGTTATTAGGAGGCCATGATTGGTAAAGGCCAGGGGGGAATCTGGCCAGGATACCTTGATATTGTCAAAAATGGGAAATGCCTCCAAAAAAAACGCTACTTTTCAGGTGTATTCCAGAGCGAATCCACCCCCCATGTCCTGCCAGGCTATATCCCGTGTCGCAATGCCGCCCCCTCTCGCCGAGAGTCTGTAACTGCACCCTCTGGGTCTTTACCTTTGGGTCTTTCGCCCTCAGATCCGTGAAGTTCAGCGCATAGACGACCGCTTGGCCCCCGATGTAGATGACGTCACTGCCATCCTGATGGAGAACCGTCGTGTAGTTCTCCGGTTTGGGGAAAATAAATCGACCGGGCTCTACAAAACATGTTAACGTGCGTTTACAGGAGACAAGAAAAAACAGTGTAAATGCTTTAAAGACTCGGTTTCTATCATGCTGTACCACGATTCATAAAAGTTTAAAATTACTGAGGGTGCGACTCATATTTTGTTATGTTATCTTCAATAAGTTCAGCAGGAAAAGTTTAATCAGGCACAAACAGCCAATAAACGAGTTAGAATCATAGAAGAAAACATTTTCATTTGGAGAATGTCTCAACAGCGTGCGGTGAGAGAGGGAGCGCGGGGATCTGCCGCAGACAGCGGGGGCCGACCCTGGTCCTCTGTAACAGGACGAGCTGCCAGCAGCGGCCAGCAGAGGGCGCGGTCGGACCCGGGAGCTGTCCGTGGTGCTGAATGTCCGGCGGCTTCTCACTGAACAGCCGAGTCGCTACCAGGGTTTGAATGGCTTAGCAAGGCCGTCAAATTGGCAGACTCGCAAACTCGAAAGGCTGCTGTTGATCAGCGCCTTTGAGGATGCTGATGAGGCCGATAATTCCCGAGAATACCGCCTAGTTCCGCGTTTGAGCGACAAACCAGTTCGCACGGGCATCCCCCTGTTCCGCTCACCGCAGACGTTCAATATCCCGCAAGGTGAAATCAAGAAACGCACGAACACATATCGCCTAACCTTCAAAACGAGGGCTCTGTCTTAATGTGCATCTTGTAAGGGTCTGCAATGGGTGGAAATACGTCACCAGCGGTGGCAAGAGAGGCACGTGTCTGGAATGCTTTCACTCGGGGATCGGTTGGGGGGGGGGGCGGGAGGGGGGGTGGGATGCTGGGACGTGGTCTCGGACAGTGTGGAATTTCCCGCCGGACACCACCCCACCCTCGCGTTCTCCCATTCGCCGCGCGAGGGGCGAGTCGGGGTTCGCGGGCGCCGCAGTCCCCGCCGGCCTCGTCCCCGGCTCCGGCACCCGCATTGCAGGTCCGCAGCGCCAGCCGGCGTCGCCCTCAGGAAACAGCCTGTTCTACACCGGGGGGGTGAACGTAATTCGCCCCACTTGAACATCATTCTATCCTCAGAGAAGCGCGTTTTTTTTTTTGCAGATGCAGAGAAAGTGCAGACCCGGTGTTCTGTTCGTCCCGTCACACCCCCACAGAAAACACAGTCTGTTTCCATGGCGACCCTTCCTCTTCACTTTGACAGCCGATCCCCCCCCCCAGTTCGCCGCTATTTGAATCCCACGCGCTTGTCGTTAGGAACAATGACCGAGATGTGACTTTTATGCGGCGATTTTCCTTCACAGATTTAAAAATCCCGTCGCGTTTAACTGTTGCGCGTCGCTGAATCTTGCGGGGGAGGGGGGGAGGGGTTATGGGCACGTTGTGCACTGCGCCAAAAACTCTGCTCGGAGATACCTGTCTGAGTGCCGATACAACAGCGCTGAAGCACAGCTGCGATTTCAGGCGAGTAACACTGCTGATAATATGCGTTTTCTTGCGTGAGAATATTCATTCGTTCGCCTCTTCCCGACGGGAGGAGAGCTTGTTGGCACTGAGCTAGGGACCTGTCCCACATCAGCGAGAGGAAAAAGACCTGCCGGCGCCCTATGCGGGACTGGGTCCAGTCCGACCTTTTTAAACCGCGGTCAGTTAAAAGCCC